AGCAAATATCCTGAATTCTGAGACATCAAAGCCTAAGGCCTTTTAACCAAATTGCTAAGAAAAAGGTATTTGCAGTGATATGGAAGTCCCCCCAAGAGTAATTTAAAATGCTCAACAAAGGTAATTTCTGTTGAGTAAGATCCGAGCCCAAATTTGGGAGTTATGATGAATTGAGTAGGAGGAGCCCAATGACGGCAGCTCACTCAATAAAAACCTGTAACTTACTGTCCCAATTTGGAGGTGACTTCACTTGCAGAACAACGAAGGAAGAATCGCAAGTGTAAGGTCGGATTAGATTGGTCACCTAATCCAACCTCTCCATGATCACGAATCTCTTAGTTCACGCTGAAGCCGTGGAGCACCTGAAAGGGACTGAAGGAAGGGGACGTAGTCCTATCACTGGTGAGCCCAGCTCATTGAATCGTATTGCTGAGGCCAGCCTATTGAACCGTACTACTGAGGCCAACCCATTAAATCGTACTACTGAGGAATGAAACCATATTTTGGTATTTGGCTTCTCGGAATTCTAGGATTGTAAGTATATTATGAAAAATAACAGTATTGATTCAAATTTAACTTTTAGTTGTAATTGTAGTTGTTTTTGTAACACTAATTCTTATAGCATTGTTTGGGAAGGAAGTGCATTCGGAGCATTGTTTCTGATATATGTAATTATTGTGTTTTTAATGTTTGTGGTGTTTCTTAAAGCTAAGCAGTGTTATATACGTAGCAAAGAGTTTTAAAATAAAATTGTGTTTTATAAATTAAGTGTGTAATCATTGTGAAATCGTGCAATCAGCTAACTACTCCCCCAGCCAGTGCATCAAAACGAATCAGTAAATTGTGTGGGATTTTCTCTATTCCATAACCCACTAGAGACAGCTACAAAAAAGTGGAAGAAGAACTTGGATATGGAGGAAACCGAGGCCTTGTCTACAGTACAGGGACAACTACCACCATAGCCAGAACAACAATGCTTTAGTATAGGCCCCTGAATGTAGACACATACCTCTAGCAGGAGTTTGTGCCACTGGTTATATAAGCTCCCCAAAACAGCAGAAGCTTTGATGGCACAAGTGGCCTTCTTCTGGCAGAGATATGTCCACTTCAGAGGGTTTGCCAACACAACTACAGCAAAAGCTGTGTTATCCGGCACTTTATCAACCGGAAAGCTCCATTAACTGGCATCTGAGGGATGTGGCAAAAGCGAAACCAGAAGTCCCACTTCCGGTTTCACTGCCATGAGCTAAGTCCTTCTCCTTCATTTCTTTGGCCCATAGCCCGGGGCAAAGCAGCTTGAGCAGGGCAAAGCAGCCTGCGCGGGGCTCCCCTCTCTGTCCCCCGGCACACTGATGCCAGGGAGTGCACCAGAGTGCACATTTGATTAACCGGCATATTTGATTAACCGGCATCCCCCATTCCCAGAGGATGCTGGATAACAGCTTTGGCTGTACATTGGCTATTAGATGGGATCTTTTCCCACCCCTAGCGATGTTGGCAGAACTCAGTCACATAGACTAAGCCTGAGAAGACTGACCCATGCTTTCCCTTTTCTCCCATACTCAAGAACCGTAGCATCTTTCTCCCACCATGCATGTAGCAAGCCATAACCAACTTTGCTTGCCTAATAAAAGTACCCTGGACAGGCCTGAAATATTCAGTCACGAATGTAATACAACTTAATGAAGATACAACATCTGCAAACAACAGAAGAGGACAGCAAACAGTGAGCAAGGGTAACGTGACAAGTAAACTGATACTTAAAAAAAATAAAAATAAAAAAAAGAATCCTTACCTTCAATTCCAAACCTTCACCATCAATTCCAAATTTTTTCAACAAGGGAAGAGCTGTTGCCTTAAGGACATCTACCTAGAACAGCACACAACAAGCAATCAGCCTCTCCCACTGCCAAGATGAGACAAACAATATTTATGTTAAAAGAAGCATTTCAAGGCTTTTAAGGAGAGGTCAGTGATAAGCAGTCTAACAAGAATGTGTCTTCTCTTGACTAAATTAGGCAGAGCTAGAGAGATGATTGGGTAATTTAGCTAACTGGCATCACTACCAAATCATATAGTTGATTCTGCATGTGGTCCATGAGGAGTTGATCTGTGGATTCCCCCCCACCCCTACTCGGCCACCTCTTTTCCCCCTCTCCCCCATCTTTCCAGCTGTAGCATTAGCCAGGGTCTCTGGGCTCCCTCTTCCACCTTCCACTTCCTGCTCTTGCCCTTGGAAGTGGTGCAGTGTAGAGCCTATTATGCTGGAGGAGCCTGTGGACCAGGAAGCCCACTCAGTGCACTGCAGCGGGGATGCCCCTGGCTGGGGAGCTGAGGGTGAGCCATGGGAAGTCATCTGTGGCTCATGCTCATGCAGGCTAAATGGTGCGTAGCCCCTGTTAGCGCAGTCCCTGTGGTGGGTGGCCTCTGGCCACTTTGATGTTAGACAGCCCTGATCTACTGGGTGTCTGCATCAAGCTAAATGTTTTTTTTGCAAAGGACCGATCAAAAACAGTTCATGTTTCTTCAAATTAAGTTTCAGATAAATTGCTGGAAGCACCAGCACTTTTGTGCTTTCTAGGAGGGACCTGAGATTTGGAAAGAGAGGGCTCACTCAAAAATGCCCCCCATTTCTGTTCTTGTGGAAACCCCCTGAAATTTTAGCTTCTTTAAAAGGAGAGAAGGAGGGGGAATGGCTGGGAAACCCACCTACGGACCTCAAAACGTCCAGACAAATAGAAGGGCCTATTGAGCAAGTGTGACCTAAGATTATTCAATATTAACTGGGAATGCTCTAAGGACAGAGCAGGACTTTTTTTTTTTTTTGCAATTGCTGCCATGGTGGTAGCAGCTGACCCGACAACAAGGAGTCTCACAGCTCATAATGCTCCTCCTGTTGGCACCCCAGTAGCATGAATAAGGGAGGAAGCTACTGAACTGGAATGGAAAGCAAAGATCAGATCCAGAGGTGTGACAGCAGCGGAGGGAGTAAATTGGAAGGAGGAGCTGAAGGGGAGGAACTAGGATTCAGACAGGATGATCTATGGAACAGCTGGGCTGGGAGGCAGCAGCAG